ATATATACTTACTTCAATGACTTATTCAACGTAAGTAATCTAATTTAAGTTAAGGTCTACATTTTTTGTTTACATAATATGTACATAATATACTAAGGTACCATACGGATACCAAGGATTATAGTAAGTATATAATATAACATTTTTAAACGATTAATGTTTGTAATAAAATGTATGTATAACTATACTGATAATAATTTTTTTATAGTGAACATTAGGTATAACATTATATTGAACATTTTTAATTTATTAACCTATTAAACAGTACTATAGTATAATTAATTTAAACTGTCGCGGTATTTGGTGGTATTCGTATAATTTAAAGTTTAAAGTTATTTTTTCAATAATATTTTTAAATAATTGTTTTTATTAATGATCCAACAAATAACATGTAATAGTATTATAAATACTAAAATACATATTGGTTACCTATATCATACAAAAAATACCCTTTTTTGTATTTTATACCAATGTATTTTATTTCGTATACTTTTTGTGGAAAAAATGCACCTAATAGAAAGGGTCATTATAGACAAGTGTTTTTGGATTTTTGAAGATATTAGCAAGTCAACTTAAACATTTAGAAAATGTAAAGTATTATTTAAAAGTTAATGTATATCTATTATACGTATGTTTTCAATTCAAAAATTATTGGGAATTATATTGTTTCATGTAATAATTTTTTATCGCTCTTCTTAACTAAAAACTGTTTTCTTAATTTCCCTCTTTTACAGCGTTTAATTCGAAGAACTATCGTGGAACTTTCGACGTTTATTTCTGTCACATCTTAATAATCGTGTATGTTAACTTTCTTTAGATTATTCAAATATTTGTTTGCATTTTTGCTACTTTTAAATTATGTATCTACTATATAGGTACACTGCAGTGTAAGTTGTTCTTGAGTCCAACATGTTTTTTATACTTAAGTGTCCATAAAATAACGATTTAAATTTATCAAAAATTAAATTGAAATTAAATTTAGATTTTAAATTACTTACCTACTAGTTAGGAATAGAACCAAATTCAAATACTTAAATTCACATTCCATATTAATTGTGATGTCATTAATCTGGTTCTTTAGTCAGTCGACTGATATTACTTTATATTCAATTATTTTGTTGTACGTATCTAAAATATTATGATACCTATTACCTACTTCATTTAATATTTACATTTTTAACTTAACAGACATTCTTATATTTCATAACCAAAAAAATTTAATACAACTACATTGATTAAAGAGTAAATATTCGTAGTAAACTTTGAAGGTAGGTTTGTATTTTATCAATAAGACAATGACACATTTTCATTAATTTAGTTATCACATGCAAGAAAACAAAAGTAAAAAAATCAGGCAATAGTGCAATGATAACAAAAATTGTTTTGTAGATTTTCTAGATAATACATTAATACATATATATATATATATAACATAAACCGATTTTTTTTTATAACTTTCTAATTTTGGCTACCTACTGAATGTCTTAATACATAATAATAAAAGATAATTTATCTCATCTTTATTCCTTTCAATTCTAGGTAAATATGCCTGTTGTATTTTATATGGTCATGGTGACATGGTGATAGTACTAAAATAATATGTTCAATGGTTTTTTTTTTAATCGATTTAAAGTGGTCGGACTTGGGAGAATAGAAGAATCAAATTAATAGACACTATTATCTCTTTTGAAGTCTCTAAAAGGCCCTTAAAGTACATATTAATACATTACAATAATAGTATTACTTTGTTATAGACATTATGTACAAATTAAAATTGTTTTCAAATCATTTATGTAATTATATTGTGAATATTGCTGGAAAAATTGTTTCGGTATAACACCTATATTTTTCTAGTCTATATTTATATAAAAATGAATAATAATAATTGTATTATTATTATATTATATTTTGCTATATTTAAAATACCTTGTTAATAAACCGGTATAACCTTAACACTGAAGTTTACCATGAGAATATAAGTTTCTTAAAAATAATATATGTAGTAATGATAGTAATTGATAATATAAAATGTAAATATAATATATAAATGATAATAGTTTTGTGTTGATTGTTAACTCTGAGATGAAAGAATGAATTTTTCATTCGTGCTTCTGACCGATATTCAGTGCTAAGTTCGCCTGACCATCGCAATCAACGCACATTTATTGTATAAAAATAAAATAAAATTTTCATGACCATTGTTTCGGAACAAATTTGACTTGCGACTAATTGTACCACGACTAATTAACGAGACACCATGGGTCGGTTCGTTTGTAATTCTAGAACTGTCGCTTTAATGTTGTGTAGGTACCTACTATATACTCTGGTATAATATGTGTGTACTCTCGAGCTTCTATCCACCCACAGTATTTGATTAATTTGTTTACAAAACACATTATTACCAAAACAAAATAAAAACTTTAATTAATTTATAATTGTATAAAATTATTCCGAACATATATTTTTCGTCAAATGTACCAAACTGCATAGTTGATTTCACAAACATTGGATGAATTGCAAAGGAGTAAAAAAAGTAAAAATGTAAATAAATAAACGTGTGTATATGTTTTTTTTTTTTAAACACATTTTAACATAAATTTAACATGCCCATTATAAAATATACATGTCTGACGTATGTATCTTAAAATGCCAATCCGTAGCATGGTTTTGTAGAGATTAAAGATTTCTGTGGACGCTAGTCAATATAAGGCTGAGTTAAAAAATATTGTGCAATGACACGCAAATTAAAATGAGTCTTATACAAAAACTGTTCACTGACCAGATAGATACACCATAATACCAATGTAAGTACATTTAGTGATTTATCATTAGTGACTGATTTTGTAATAAAATTTGAAGTTCAAAATTTGACGATTACAGACGCAATCGTTTAACCTACCTATAAAATTCGATTATTAGGGTTGAACATTTTAATCTTTTAGTTTTTTAGGTATGGTACCTATATGGCTATATGACTATAATATATATTTGAATAAGACATTCATTGCAAGCACCAAGTAAATTATCAGCATATTATTATATTAAAATATTAAAATTCATTATTAATATTATATGAATAAAAAATATTATATTCCAATATATTTGAATAGTAGACTGATTTGTAAAATACAGGGAAAATATAGAACGTAGGAGTGAGTATTTAAATTATTTTAAATTGTGTGTAATACTTAACTAGAAAGTACCTATAATACATAGTTATAATTGAAAACAAACATTATTTTCAGTAATAATTATTTAGTATTATATTCTATATATTATACGAGTAGGTAGTGAAGTAAAATATAACTTAAGTGTACATAACTACAGTCTGTAAATTAGGTAAAACGTAATTTTGTAATAATTGAGTTTACTTTTTACATACTATTTTGACATGTTGTCATTAAGACAATTAATACATTAAGCTTGGTAAAAGAATTGGATTTAATTAATTGCACGAATATATGCAATATAATACACTTAAATACTAAATTTCCTCAATTGTTTAAATTAAAAAGTTAAAAGTTTTAATATTTTTACTTCGTGAGTTAAATAAAAATCATATTAAAAAAATTTAGGTATATTATTTATATTATTAATTTAGGTAAAGTATTTTGTAGTTATTTATTTAAATTCTAAAAATATATAATTATACTTATTAATAATAACCTTTACAGGCTATTTTATTCTTATAATTCAGCGTAATAATACTTACCTATGATCTAACTTTATTTGGAAGTTTATCCTAATAAATTTGTTTAATTGAAAATTATTATTTCTATAGTAAATTATAGATTCAATAATCCACAAGGTTATAGCAATATTGTAAACGATAAACGTTATAAGCAAATATTTATTTTAATTTTCAGTAAATACCTATAGAATTTTATATTTTTACAATATTATATTAGAAGGTTGAATTGTTTTATGAAAAGTTTCCTACCTATCGATTACAAGTAGTCTAAATTATTTATGTAAATTACCTTATGCACAACAATAAGACGTAATAACACACACTTTATGGAGTTTAATTGGGAAAAGAAATATTAATGTATCTTAACTGCATCTCCATGACCCCATTTTATTATCCAATATTTGAGAATTTGAGATGGTTATTAATTTTATGAAGGGTGGTATTGAAATATTTTCCCCCTCTATTTTTGTATTTTAATAACGTCTGGTTTTTATGAATTTTTATCAATGTTTGTTGGTGTATATAGTATAAAGTTTAAAGTAAAACAAAAACAGTCGCAAGACGTTTTTTTTTGCGATTCGACTAAGATTTGTTTTCCTCTTTTTTTCGTGCATTTTCAACGATCCTTTTTGCGAGGGTATATTTTTTTCAATAAGGGCGTGTCGTTGTGTACATTTTAACACTATTTCAATATGCACAAGATGTGTGTGAATGGACAAAAGTACTGTAAACTGTGAAGTGTTAAAATAACCGTGAAAAAAAAATTCAAAATACCCCCTATAACTCTATGTCTAATATTATTATTAGATAATAACCAATTACGGGGTACGTAAGGGGTAGAAAAGTAGAAATGTAAATATGAAAAAAAAAACTTCTTCGATCTACTCGACATGTAACTCGTAACATCGCTTGACCTGGCGTACCACCCTGTTACCGGCTCTGAAACATTAATCCGACACGGTTATTCATTATTATTATAAATTCAGGCACCTGTCATTATTCACCGACACGTATTTAAACACACACGCGCCCGTAGTTTAGTACTTTGGCAATTATAGGATTGTTCCCGATTAATATAGCATAGACACCGAATAATAGTTATTGTGAGCGTCCTAAAAACATCGTGATAATCGTGATTAAATCGTAAGTTTTTTTTTTAAATATTAAAATAAATTATATAACATTATTATCTTTTTATTTGGTTACAATATTATAATGAATTAATTGGTGACCTACGGTAGGAAGTAAATCGTCGTTCAAGCTGAACAGAGAAAATAGGTCTTGGTTGCCAGAGATACGGGTCAACAGAATGGACTTAGAAGACCGGAGAATCCGTCGTAAAACACCAAAAATCAAATGTCACGAAAGAAAAAACAACCGTAAAGAAACGTATAATTGGAAGACCAAAGGAAAAATAAAGTAAGTCAAAAATAAAATTAATATAATTAGCACATTTATTTTATAAAAATCATTCACCAATGAATTTTACAATGAAAGCTACACAATGTAATTTCGAACTCTCAACTCATTAGAAAGTACATATTTTTTAATGATTTCTTATCTCAACTTCTTATACAACCAAATGATTTTTACGATATTTTATATTATATTTTAAGTATTTTCAATCAATCCATAATAAAGTATGTTCATTTCCAATAATTAATGTTGAACAATTTATATTGTACATACCTACAAAATTAGTTTTAAAAAATCGGGTAAATTTACTTTTTATAAAATAATAATTTATGTTTCCCCAAAAATAAATTATACTTATTGATATGTATTATTCGTGTTATATATGTATTATATGTATTCTATAATAATTGTATTAAATATATTTATACAAATTTAAGGCAGTTGCATATTATAATGAATAATTAATGTATTATTTTTTCGCTTATATATTACACATTTTATATCGATCTGGAATCAGGATTCTATTCAAATGTTTAAGGACGTTTCAATGCAAGAAAAGTATCAGTTAACATTTTCTAGCAAATTAATTATCAATTTTAAACAAAAGAATCAAGAACAATTTATTTCAATTTCTATATAAAAAAATAAAAGATGCTGATTTTATTAAATAAAAAGTTTAGTTTTTGCCAACTGAATATCTTATAAAGTTTGAATATCAACCATTTCAAATTACGCTTGAAAATAAGATAAAATTAATTTTTTTATTTAAATATTTAAATAATTTATATCCTGGATATCGTAAAAATTAAATAAAAAAACATTCTATGTAAATTATTTTACGTAACTCATAAACCACCCGTTTATATATTTTAATAATGACGCATCATTATAATAAATGAAACAAATAAAAACTGAATAAAAAAATTACTGTCGAAAAAGGGTTACGATTTTAAAACTAAAAGTTTGTGTTGTCTCTTGATTCTGTTCAAACAGTAAAAAACAGTCAAAAAGAATATTAATATCTGAAACACATAATTTTGTTAAACTAAATATTTGTATCCAAGTCTAAACAGTTTGTAAAGATATAACTTTTGCATTTCTAATGTATATAAGATATAATATACGACGTTAAAATGTTCGTAGGATACAAATAATTGTCTTAACTTTTTATATAGATTCGTAGGTATAAATGAATGAATAATAAAATCTCTACAAAATTTAGCAAGTTATGTATAGTAAGTATATGTTTTTATAGCTTATTTTAGTGTGGATATCTGACCATCTGTAGAAACACACTACAGTAATTGTACAATTATTTTACAAAAATGTATTTATTTTTAAAATGAGAATTTAATAGTTACGACATGACTTACGTAGGTGCTATATTTTGATGTTTTAACAATTAACAAAACGTTTTGTAAAATTTGTAAAATTGTTTATTATATTTTATGACACAGTTATGCCCATAAATATCACTTTAATTTATAAATTAAAATTGTTATATCAGTGGCTATATTATAAGAGAAGCTTTTATTAATATATTTATCCTTAATCGCAACATTGCATTAATCCAGTCAATTACGCGGCTCACGAAATGTTCATAATTTATACAAATGTAAATTCGTTAAGCACGTACATACAGTTATCATATATTTTATGTTCTTGTACTTTATCAGTAACGTTTTTATGTGTTAGAAAATGTGTACAAAATGAATTAATTTTAATTTTGTTATTTAAAAAAATATATATATGATATCGTTGTATTATATCACTTTTGTCATAATAATAATATAGTTACTATTCTTATTTATATTTCAATGATAGGTATTATATTTGTGTATTCAGAAATGTATTTTCCATTTTTTAATTTTCTGTTTGCACTATTAAGTTATTAGAATTTTTAAAAAAAATCTTAAATTAGTTCTAGGTTTGTAACAAGATTTGTTGATCCAGCCGGATGAATTTAAGTTCTTTAAAAAAAATAATCGAGCTTGTTAAATTGTATTTTAGCTATAAAACGATTTAAATATATTATATAGTTACTTTTGTATGTCTCTTATCATAAATTATTTAATTTTCTATATTATGATCTACTCTAATAAATTAAATCTAATTTTTAATTAATATTTATTATATTTCTAATGAAGTGCTATTTTTCATTGTTTATTTGTTTAATAGCTAAAATAATTTATTTACTTAACAATCATTTAATTTACTCGGGACAAAATTAATGTTATCATTTTTCATAAGTGCACTTGACAAATCAATTTTGTTTGTATTTAAATGTTTGGATAACTACATAATAATAATTTTACATAAGGTTCCAAATTTTTTGCATTAAGTTCTAAAATTATTGAAATTTTTAATAACTAATACAAAAATAAACTAGGGAAGTCGCTCTGTTGTATTGTTGTAGGTTTCAAGTATTCCTCGCCATTGAGTAGGTCACTGTAATGGATGTATTATATTAAAATTCAATGATAAATCATTTTCTTGTTCGAAAAACGATTCTAGGTGAAGGCTGTCTGTCAGCCTATATTTCTAAGGATATATATATATTTATATTGTAATTAGAAATTTATTTTCTATTAGTAATAGGTACGGTAGATTAAACTAATATTATATTATAGAGATTGATTCACTAAACCTGTTCGCCCCCTATTTCCATCAATAATACAGTTATTTAAAATCTGGCTAGAATTTTTTAATATACTTAGAAACTATAATATCAAATTCTAGAAATTTTTCGTTCAACATAAGTAGTGTGCCGTAGTGATACAAACTTTAATTTTGTAACTCATCACATCAGTATCAAATGAAAACACCCTGTTACTACTGTAAATTATTTAACGGACAATTTTTCTGAAAACGTTGACATATCAAAATCAAAATTTTAAAGAGCAGATTTTGAGTTATTTAACTTTGTTTAAGTACTAATAGGATAATAGTACAAAAAAATCCCAATAATTTGAAAATATGGTCTTAAGTGTATTTCAAAATTTCAAAAAAAATAATTTGAACAAATTCATTATTTATTGAAAAATAGGATGAGCATGCTTGTTGAATCGCTCTGTATAATAATAGCAACGTTATTAATATTATATAGCTAACTATTAAAATTAATTTACAAGTTAATACAAATGTATTGGTAGAACTGAGTGAATAGGTTCGGGATATAAAATATTAAAAATGAAAATTTTCATTATGTGTAGTAAATAATAATATACTTATTTAATTGAGAAAAATAAGTATCTACAAATATTAATTTTAACTACATTAAAGAAACCAAAATTGGTTTTTTTTTGGTTTAAACATCCTATTTTGTAGAATTTAAAATTGAAATGTGTCTATTTAAAAAGGAATTTTAACATAATATATATTTCCGAGGTTTTTAGATTAATTTAAGAACAACTTAAGAGGGACTTTGTATTACATTTTCAAGCTTTTTGACAAACATAAACATTTTAATCGACAATTAAAGGAAAAACAAAATTTTAATGTTAAAAGATAATTCAATTTTAACCAAAATATTTTTTTAATGTTACCTACCATTTTTACTAAAAGCCAATATGAATATTTGGTATAAATTTGAAGAGTGTACGATTATTTGTTTTTGAATTACAACAAAATAACTAAATACAACAAAGATTTTGACAAAAATTGATGTTATGTAAAATATATTCTTTACTAAAATCTCCATATTTTTCCGATTATTAAGAGAAGTATGGAGATTTTTACTTTTTGGAGCGAGAGCCCATCCCTTTTCCAAAGTACTAACTTCAATTTACAACGAGAAACAATCCTTGAAATTGAAAATGAATGCATTTTTTTTAATATAAAAAGTATTTGTAATGTATTTAGATTTTACTATTGTGTCTTCTCACACAATTTAAAAAAAATATATATCATTGTTTAACACTAAAACCAATATCATTCATCGTTCCGCTCGGGATTTAAAATAACGTTAATAGTTAATTTGTCTATATTTTATGAATTTACGTATATTAATATCTCTATGATATGTTATCAATTTTTCTGTATAAAATATTAAAATTAAAATAGTTATAAAATATTCTGTTTAATACTTTAATACTTACATTAATTGTATGTGTATTTATAATTTGATGTATAATATAATAAATGTCATCATTAAAATTTTGAATAACAAAAACAAAATTTAATTTAAATACACACTAATAAATTCAATATAATATAGGGTAGGCATATCAGTAGTGAATATAAATCATATAAATATTAATCGTTTATTAAAAATAATCGGTTAACCATCAGCATATTTAATTATAGTTAATATTAGAGTCTAGAGGACAGAGGTATATGCGGAATTATATACGAATAATTGATAATTGATTCAATTAATGTCAGTATATTCAACAATACAACTATATACATTATACTTTTGTATAATAACTATAAATAACACAACTCAACTAACTCAAGTGAAGAACTAAGATAATATTTTGCATACGCTGTCTTAATTATTAAGATATTGGAAATCGAATATGGCATATGACACGTGTCTATTTGTAGCAAGTTATTTCTTGTATTATATTATTACTTTGGAGGAATTTAATATATAGCATCAGATATTAATATAGTTGCCATTCGAGTGGTTTAGATAATATTTATTTTAGTGTTTGATGTCCCCATCGATAACTTAAATTACTTATTCAAGTTCATAGCTTATTTTTATATTAACCGCAGTCTACATGGGCTATAAAAATGAAAACGAAATGAATGTTTCGTACAATTATAATACTAGGTAGCTGATATAAAATTGTGGTAATATTAAATTCGTCTTGCGTATGATTCATAAATTGTTAATTGTTAAATACTTTCCTAGTTAATCATGATTACTAAATTATAGTATAATTTATATTTTTATAAAAAATATTTTTGAAAATATGAAAGGAAATGTGTTTGTTTATAAGATGTATGTATTTTTATTTTTTATTATTATTTCTAGGGAAAAAAAACAAATTATACATACCTAAACGGCCAAACAATTTATATACTACGTAACGTTTGACCTTTGTTTGGAAATAACTTAATTATTGACAATTTGGATGGCCATATGGCATATACATACTAAAGTGAAATTGTTGGTGTTTGCTCTAAGCAAATACATTTATGGCTTGTGTATAATTTACCTATAGAGTTAATTCAATTAATTTGGAAAAAAAATTAAATGTACTAAATTGAAAAATATTAAACTATTATTATCAAATATCGAAACACTGAGTTGGTGCAAAAAGGTAATGAAAAATAATTAATAACATAATGAATATAAAATAAAATATCGTAAAATATTACCCAATAAATAATAACGGGTAATATTCTTAAATAAATAAAATAATATATAACCTTATAGGATTCTTTTGATACATTGTATGAAACAAAGAAGAAAATAAATTCTTTGTAATGAGAAAAATAAATTGCTTATTAATTATAATAAATAACAACATTCAGTGATATTGTAATATCATTTTAGGAATTCTAGTGAATTATTAAATAAATGATGGAATAATTATATTGTTTTTATGGTTTATTATTAAAATTGTATATAGAACCAACTTACTATAGTAGTCATCTTTTCTTTGGTCAACTCTCTCACGATCACTGTTTATTCAAACAAAAATGTATACTCTAAAACATAGTTAAATATTCGAACCGTACTAATTGCATATTTTTTTTTTTTTTTGTCGATTTCCTCTCCCCACACCTGCTGAATGTTGTCGACGGTGAAATAATTGTATTCGTATTTTGCAGGTGCCCGGACAAAGGGACGACGAAAATCCAAAAACCTGCTCAGATCAACCCTCTAATGACGATACTGATGAGTTCCCGGCCTCAACTTGACCAACCAACCAGTAAAATCCGATAATATATTTTCTATTTCATTGAATGTATTGCTATTATTAATAATGTTTAATGTTCTGATTTGGGCATAGGCGACGCGACTTGCACCGAGAGAGTGCCTTTGACTTCATACAGGACCGTGGTGCTGGAACTTCCCGAAAACTTGCAGTACAAACCTGCTGTAAAGAAGTCAGCTCTTGCCTACAAATTAACAGCCCGCAAATGCGTCGTGCCCGATCCTAATAAATTGAAATTGAGCTTGAGATGGTAAATGTGCGTGTTGTAAAAATAATGATTATTTATAATAAGAATCAGCGATTAAGCCGTGTCCTTAATAAACGTGGTCGGGTTTTTTGTGTTTTTGTGTTTTTTATTTTTATTGAAAAGGGCTGAGTGACCAACGGCTTTTGTAAGTTTTATGCTTACTCGGCGCTCATTAGCTGACCCAGCAACATTGCAGCCAGGGTATACCTATCCCGAGCGGGTGATTTATGAATTCTATTCAAGGCGGTATTCAACGCGGGGTTAGAGAAAAGGAAAAAAGAACAAAGTTGTCGACCGTTTTTCAATTAATCTCCGTTGAGGTCATTTCATCGTATACTCGACATTATATAACACGCTTATGCTAATGCGTATACACATTATACACATATATTGTGTAGGTATACAATATATATGCAGATTATTATAACCGGTTAGGGTTTTTGAACGACCCACATATGCGACACTCGGCGAGTGTACCGGTTCAGATGTGAGGTTGGCAACCTTGGGTGTATCCAACTAAATGCTTGTTGTGTGAGGTCGTGTTATATTTGTTATAACAACCCCCACCCTTGAATCGCGGTAAGTATACAGTCTTTTCCTGTGTAAAGTGGTACGTGGTATTCAGCCGCACGTGGTGGCGTTCAAGTCTCCGAAGGCCACCGCCTCCGTAGCACTCGAAAAAAACAGGTTGTATATCGAAGGGTCGCCTAAAATTGTTGAACTAGGCCAAACACCGCAAGAGGTAAAAATCGTAACCAAAAACAATGATGTTAAATATGACTACGTTTATGGCTAGGCATCGACTTAATGTTTAAAAAGTTTATACTATGACCTCAGGTAGGATAATATGTTGCTCTATTAATTATATTTGTTAATTGTAATTAACGTGTTGAAACTAATAATTTATCGGCGTTAAAAATTAAATATGACTGGACTCAAACGGCTGCAAACAGCGCCCTCAAGTGACATAATAAAATAGTTATAGCCTCCTAACCTATGTAAAAACAAATCATTAAGTTAGTTTAAAGATTTTCGTAAACAATAGCTGGTACTGGCTGAAGGAACACTGGCGGTATTATATACCGTGTGGGAAAATTCGGCATGAACACACAGAATCGTGCACACACGCGTTAAATTATTATGATTATTTATAGTAGTTTTATATTGATAAATCGTTTTTTCATCTTTATACTTATTATTATTATAGTATATAATATACATTAAGTGTATATACATATGCTACATCCAGAATTCATCTGGCTGCAGATATTCTCTTGTACAACACAACACACAATAAAACATATTATAATGGTTATTATATATTTTTTGGCTTTCGTTTAATTTAAAAATCTCCCTCGCCCCCGTCATAACGTGTATAACAGGTAGGCGGATCCCCGGCATGGCCAATATTTTACGCCGACTGGTATAATACGCGTACAGAGAAGATGTACACCATTATATAATACGCGTTCTCGAGAGGCGCCAGTTTGGCGATGGTTTTGTCTGGAACTGTGCTCGGCGAGAGCGGTATATGATGGAATCTAGAGGCTTGGCCGTCCGACAACATTATATTGTACACATGTGCTGGTGCGTGTGTGTGTGCGAGTGTGTGAGCCGAAGATGACGAGGCGCAGAGGGTTGTTTTCTTGGACGGAGGTGAGGCGGAGGGGTATAAATCTGTGCGTTTGTGTGTGCGCGCGCCCTGTCGTTTCAAGGTCGGTAGGTTTCTCGTAGTCTTCATCATTATAGTGAATCGCCGTGAACGGTATAGTGGAGGGGATGAGAAATGTACGAAACACCCTTCACACGATGCGTGAGTGTTTATATACCTATACATATTTATATGCGTATATAATATAATAATATTATATCAGATGTTGCATGTATAGGTAGGCACTACAATATATAATATAGTAATACACAATATTTAATAATTATTATTGTTGTTTTTTTTTTTTTTTATTACCCTCCTGGAAAAAAAATTAACTGTCTGTTTGGATTCTCGGCTAATTACATAATAACAGTGATCTGATCGCAGGAAAGACTTAAGAGGTGGGACTGCGTAGTTTTGAAGAATTTGCTTTTTTCAAAAAACAAAAATATTTTTAAATTAGAACCAAAATGTGTTGTGCATTTGTGAGTGGAAGTAAAAACAAATCATATCGTTTTGAAGTATTCTTTAGAATAGTTAAATATTTCTACGTAGTCAGTAAGTAAATAAAATATATAACATGTTTATGGAGGTAAGTTGGGTGCATAGTTTATCAAGCTAAAATTAAATAATGTGGGATTAAAAAACCCCCGTAACTGCAGGTATTCAATTATTCAACAAAGTTGTCTCTATAATTGTTAATTGTCTTAACTCTTTTAAGTAATTAAAAAAATTAATACTTTTTATTTTTTGTACGGACGTGGTGAAACATTAAAATTAAAAGTAATAAAATTTAATTATTTAATAATTTTTCTTTTAAGATTGAACAGTTACCATTAATTTTTATGTCAAATTTAAAATATTAATAACTAAAACGGTGAAGTTTAAATTAATAAGGATTACAATATTGTAATATTGAGCATTTGTGATAAATGTTATGATAGACAATTAATATTATAAACTAAATACAATGTAATTAATTTTCCAAAAATATTTTATATTAATATAATCGTTTTTAAGCTAAAAAATTGTGAAAAAAACCAAATGTGCAGTTAGTATATTATATAGTATTAATATTTAGCACACAAGTATTCATACCAGTATTTTTTTATTTAAAATACAAAAACGTTGACTTAAATATGTTTTTAATAAATATTTATAATAATAAAATATGGTCAATTATCGATAGTACATACCTAATATTTATATATTGTTAATGGGAACCGCCAATGAATGCGTATATATATATATATATATATATGATGAAGGACAGGAAACCATCGATTCGTGTCTGATTTCGGGTAGAACACATGCTCTCACCAGAGGGATAATGTTTCATTGGAAGTTACAACGGAAACCATCAATTGCTGTTTCACGTTCAAAGCAAATTTCGTTCTGATTTATTTTGTCATGACAAATATTTACCAACTCGTTGAACCAACTCGGCCGATTGGCAACCGAGATTTTCTGACTTACACCTGACTTAAATCTGGGAACCACACGCGATGTCGCGAGTTTTTCATCTGTCGATTGTCGAAGGAACGTGTGAACGAATAAATTAATAAATACAAAGTAATAAAAAAACAAGGTTCGATTAATGCCCATATCGTGCCCGCCAGCACAGCAACTAATAAAAACACAAAATCCTATATGGGTAGGTACTACGGCAGTCGTTAATGCGAAACGAAATTTTGAGGGCGGCATGACAATACGAGTATTATATAATATAACATTAAGCTTACAACAATTATACTTGTTAGTTGTTCAGTATATAAACATAATACATAGACATTTTAATATGATAAATAAATTTCGAAATTGAATCGTGTTCACGTCAAAATATTATATCTGACCGGTTTTAAAAGTTCAATGGAAATCAACTGGAAAATAATAAATTGGACATTCGAAATTGGAATTGGAGTTATCGGCGTGCTTTTTGTTTTATGATTCGCAATTATCTCTATAATAAATAATAAAGAAATTAAGTTTTCTAAATATATTTCTCTGACGATTTGTGAATAATAGTATTTAGGTACTCGGCTAGTAAGTAATAAATATTAATGCCTACAAAATAAATCACTGTTTATACTTTTGAGTATAGTTATTGTAAAGTTTTCAAGCAACTAATTTCCATGAAAATTAATTCTTGAAAATATATTTTACCGTATTACCTTTAACAAATTAAATTTTGTTTCTAAAATCGATTTTCAATAAAATAAAATACGTACATTTATATTTTTATTTTTTATTAACAACAGTTTGTGTATTATATAGTTTTATTTTTTGATTCATATTTTAGATTTTAATATTCAAAACGATATAAAGTATTCGCTAATTGTTTGATAGCAATATTTTTATTATTAATAATATTATAATGTATTTAAATTTTAAAATTCAGTTAAAAAATGTCATTTAAAAATATATTATAATTATTAAATAATTTATATCCTGGGTGGCAACTATATTTTACATTTTACTGTTCAACACTTCATTTCCTGAGCACAATTTTTTTTTAAAACTTTATACCCAAACACCAAAGATAATTGTTTTTTTTTTTTAGTAGTAAAAAAGTTTGAAATTGGAATTACTTGTTTTTATTTGAATCAATATTATTCAATATTACGACAGGATGTAATAATTATTATTTCCTTTTCAAGCGTATGCATATTTTTGCTCGTTTGATGGTTCATTTAGAAAATACCGAATTTGTCTACCTATTGGTATGTTATTATATAAAAAGATAGGAAAAATAACGGTTGAAAAACTTTGCTATTGTGCAACTTTCACAACCTAATAAAAACTAAATAAGTGAAAAAAAAGTCTGTCGGTTTTTCTTTGATATAATGATGGGGTGTATTTAATTTTCTTCCATATGATTTTTCAACAACGATTTTTAAAAAAAAAACAACAATAGAATCGAATATCGCGTACATGAAATATAGTACAGCTCGTCAGCTCTCCGCTGGTATGTGGTAACCGGTAGGTACTATTAGTACTTACATGTATAAAATATATTAATATGTAATATATGTATAATATATATTAATTATAATATGACAAATTGTATATTTTATCTAATACGCATAATATTATATAGTTAAACTTATACTTTTCTACCGATGATTATTCTGTATCGTTTTTCAGACTTCCTGTTTATGTGCGCTACGCACACGCGTGCACAAAATCGAACAATTGTGAGACTAAAAAATCAAAAAAAAAAAAAATCATAACTTTTACCCACGATTTTATTGTTGTTTTACCGCAGTACGCGTATACACACGCAATAAAAATAATAATAACAATAATTTGTTTTCGGCAGAACCTAAAAAGAAAAATATTAAAAATCAACGACGATC